CGAAACGTTTAGTTGTAGCAGTTCTAGATCATGATTTAGACAACTGTGGCGATAAGAATGTAGAATAACAATACAATAAACAACACTTACCGGCGTAAGAGTCCCAGCTAGCGTCCAGCTGGCAGACAAAAATAAAGCAGGTTATATCTTAATACAAACCCTGCAAACTAACTGAGAAATCAAGCTGGTATTTATATAGAAATACTTCCACTCAGGTACCAGCAGCCAATCACAGCCCAAGCAATGGACTATCCCACTTTAGCATAATGAGATGCTCCATTGCACCATAAATAACTCTCTTTCTCAATGTTGAATTAGTATTCACTCAGCTTGCTCCACAACTGAGTGTTTATCTTGACCACGTGATTGTTCGACAAAGAAGAGTTCGACCATTTCATTCTAATGTAAAACCTATTCGTGAATTTGTCGGCAGGCTTGATCTGGTTAATAAATTCCGAAAGGAGCGTCCGAAGAAAATATGATGGATTAGACATATAAAGACGGTACGGATACTAATGCATCGTTCTCTTTATATCGACCGATTTTTAGGAGAGTCGACTATTATGTTGTCCAAGTGTGTAGCTTATTCGGACCATAGGTCTGTCTGCATTTGTTAAGGTCGGGAAAGATATTAGAATAACTCAGAGCAAACCAAGCGCCTTTATACAGATATAAAAATGAACCGAGCAAGGGCACAAACATAGAAAGAGACGTAAGACAAGGATGCGCTTTCTAATCTGCTTAGGATCAGAAAAAAAAGACAGTTCAAATTTCTTGAACATATAATGTAGAAATTTTCTAGGACACGTGATGAGGAAAGAGGGCTTGGAGAACTGGACACCTACACAGGATATGATGAAGGTAAGACGGGCAACAGGAAACAGCGAGTAATCTAACAAGTATATTAATAGGATGACTAGACAGGTTCAGGGAGAGATATTAAAGGGGTAAGCATAAGTACAAAAGGTAGGAAATTGTAAAGAGGCATGATCACCGACACACTGAAGAGACATGGAACACAAGAGAAGAAGGCTAGTTTGATTCTAAGCTTAGATAAGGCTAAATCTATCATGACTAGATACTGTAAATTCAACATACCCGAATTGGATATGAAGCATTTTTAGAAACAATTAATCTTCTTTATATGCCGTGCCCCCTCAGGACGTAAGCGATTGTTGTAGAGTGATTTCACAGTGGAGGCTTGTATTTGTACTAAGTCGGTCCTAAAATAGGTTCGACGCACAAAACGTTAGGAACGTGATATAGTAGGTTGTGGGATGTAACGCAACAACTCAACTGATGATAGCAGGTAGGAACAAAGAAACCGTGAGGAGGGGTGAGCAAAAAACCCCGGTGTCGCACGTCCAACCTTCTCACGAGCCGAAAGCTCTCTGATCCGAAACAGCAAAACGCGCCTGCTTTATACAGCCGAGGACCGACGACGATTTGCATGCGAATGACGAGACAACGAGATTTCGCGTTAACTAACCGAGACCGCCCGGCATAAAATATGGGCGCCGCCATTTTGGTTCATTTTACCGTTGGGACAACCGGAGTTTGCACACCGCACAGATTCGCAGGCGTTTCCGCGGTAAGCCATTTTCACAATTTTCCCCACATAGGTAATGACGCACAGAAATCTAGTTGTGGTCGCTGATACTTTAGTAACCAACTAATGGTCGTCCGGCATCGACTGACTGAGCGACTCACTGAGCGACTTAGCGACTGACTCGTTACTCTTACTACTCCTACTTATTATAGGTGGGAGAGTCTATTAACTATAGAATAGGTGTGTTCCACTATAACAGCAATCATGGCTCTCTACGATTTCCTGTCCCTTGCAGATCTTAATGAATATTGTATTTCTGTTATTTCTTCTAAACCCTTTTCCACCATTGATTTACTGAAGTTCACTAAATATACTATGCGTTGTTTCACTCTATCTCTTTTGCCTTCAATCTGTCCTGTGCGTATCAGATTTTCCAAGCCCTCTTTCCTCATTATGTGTCATAGAATTCTCAACTGTCACTTTCTGGTGTAAGTATAAGTTTCCTTTTTGTTTCCGTTTTCTCTAAGACTTCGTCGTTGCTTATATGTTCGACCCATGATATAATCAGCATCCTTCTGTATAACAACATTTCTATTGCTTCATTGTCTCTGCTATATCATTGAAAAGATTGCCCAGCACTCACTACCATACAAGAAGACAGATATCACGTAATACTGTTTTCCTTGTTTCTAACGAAGTTTTTGTATTTCTTACTCACCCCAAAACGGGAATTAATGAGATTAGCGAAATTTTTCGGAAAAATAGTTATAACTGAGACAAACTGATCTCCTTGCTTTACAAGAAGGATCAAATTCTTGGAGTTCGAACTATAGTCAAAATAATATGTACAAACGAACGACTATGACCGCTGAATTGCGTGCATGCTTAAATAACACGAACATATGTGGAACGTCCAAATAGAATCGAACTCTAAACATGAGAAATGTCCTCTTAGACTAGCTGGCTAACTATTGTACCATGGAGAGAGGCACTTGCTTGTATGAATAGAATAGGCCATAGTAAGCTGCTCGAAACGAGGAATCGGCGAGACGAGTTCGAATTCTAGTCGATTTTGTTAGATTCACTCACGCACAAATACTCTCGGGGAAGGTTTGAACCCATCTCCTTTCCCCGTCCTGGGTAAGACAATAAACTAGATCCGCGTTCTGGGTAAAACGATAAACTACATCCAACAGCAAGGCCTCTGATCAGGATATTTTGAGGGGCGCGGAAACACCTCTTAATTGCTGTTGTTCCCCGGTCCACCCTGACCCGGGATGGTAGTACATGTTACGGTCCCATCTAGGGGCAAATAGTTAACCCCCAAATTGGGGTCAAAGCACTATGAAAATGTAAAAATATTTTTTTTTTAAGAATTTCACCCCAAGCAAGGCGGGAGTGCCACTAGCACGCAAGGGGCTACAGAGAGTGGGAACAAGAGTAAAGAGACGTAATTGAGGAAAGGTCAAAGAGAATGACGGGGATTTAGATCAAAGCATCAGAAGATGTCGATTGGCATTACATTTGAATATTTGAAGACTATAACTGTCAGGGAAGCAAGTAAGAGGAAAGGAGTTCCGCAGACGGGAAGTGATAGACATGAAACTATTGGAGTAGAAGGGACGGCTACATTTAATTGTTTCGACAGTGAAAGTGTGTGACTGAGATGCCAACCTAGTAACACGCTTAGATTCATGCAGTTTGGAAACCAACGAAAATAGCTTGACGGAGAAGAAACCGTGAAATTACGTGTAGAAAAGACAGAGGGAAGCGACGGCGCGACTGTGAGAAAGTGGCTGTAGACGAGATACCAGACCAGGACAAACCACATTGCATATCCGTCTCTGGATTTTGTCGAGGACCTTGAGACGAACAGTGGGGACTCCAGACCATATATGGCAGCAGTATTCCATGCAAGGGCGAATGGTTGATTTATAGATTTGAAGGATGGACTCAGGCGAGAAAAACTTTCTGGTGCGACACAGAGAACCAACTTTCCTTGCAGTAGATGAAGCTATTGATTCAATGTATTTGTTCTATCTTAGGTTAGCAGACGGCGTGAACACATTCATAACATCAATACATTTTTGTAAAAAAATTATTACCAGAAATTATTTTTTAAGAAAATAGTTATTACCAGCAATATATTTTGGGGAAAAAATATTACCATCAATACATTTTTGGAAAAAAAATATGAACAGCAATGTCGGCATTAATAACCTATTTAGATTGATATGCCGTAAAACAAATCAAACCAAACCATGTTTTTTCCCCCAATTTATAGGTTAAATAGAAAAGCAGATCCCCTCTTGTCGTGGTTGGCAACCAGTCTAGGAGAAGAAAAACTCTGAATTTAAAGCTGTATGTATCCCTATCGAAGTATGCACTTGCCAGCAATGTCCATACCCGCTAAACGAGTAGACAGTATGTAGACTAATGTGACAAGTAATTTTAGAAATTACGTTTTATTTTTTCATTTTAGCTTCAATTTAAATCTGTTTTTATGGTTTATTCATTATATTTTTACATATATGTCTTAATTAAGTGTGTGAGTTATTTTTTTTATTCTTCAAGTTTGTTTTTACATTCCTTTTTACACCTTTATTTATTTTCCATTCGGCTTTGAATGATTTTATTTACTTTTTCGCTAGAATGGATTGGGATTTCATTTCAACGATGAAATTCCCGACAGAGATTTTACGCTCATTAATTCGGATTATGACGATTTCCCCTAACGTCTAAATTGAGCGTAATAAATTTGGCTTGCTTTTAATGGCCTCTTATTTGAGGGGCCTCCATAACTAACAACGGCCATGTTTTTATCGATTCCGACAAATATACATAATTAAAACATTCAGGGCTAATCGTGGCTCAACTGGTAAAGATAAATAGCCGTTATCTAAAAAAAGCAATGTTAGTGTCGCAATTCACTAAAATTAGTTTACTACAACATAAAATGAACAGAAGATGATTGTATGGCGCCAGTCTTTAAAGTGTTAAAGGTTTACTTTGACAGTCAACATTCGAAACGCGTACATTCCCTCCATAATTTTTATTCTACATGTCATATCTGTTTATAGCTCTCCACAATTTCCTGTCCTTTACAGTAATTATTGTCCTATTGCTGTCTCTTGTAAACCTTGTTCTGCGAACCATTTACACAAGCTTGTTACGTAGATCAGGCGCTGTTTTCTTCTGTCCCACTTGCGACCCTCTTGTGTTCCTCTTGTGTCCCTCTTGTCCTGTCATTTTCGCCGACATCTGTTGCACCATCCGCACCTCCTGTAACATACGATATCGATATATCGTAACAGAGGTGGGGGTGTTCCGAAAGTAATTCCTCCTATTCACTTCCACGGAAACTAAAACAGATAAAGAAAATACAATAACATTCATAGGACATAGTTTTCAGTTACAAAATATTATTTATCCAAATAGCCACTACTAATGGCTATAGATTTTTTGCAGGTGACAAGTAAAAACACGCTTTCTGGGCTCGTAAACGTGACTTGTCACATACTTCGATATCGCTTCTACTATTGTCACATGCATCGATATCGCTTCTACTATTGTCACATGCATCGATGTCGCTTCTACCATTGTCACATGCATCGATGTCGCATCTACTATTGTCACATACATCGATGTCGCTTCGACTATTGCCACAGACATCGATATCGCATCTACTATTGTCACATACATCGATGTTGCTTCGACTATTGTCACTTACATCAATGTCCCTTCTACTATTGTCACATGCATCGATGTCATTTCTACTATTGTCACATACAACGATGTCGCTTCTACTATTGTCACATACATCGATGTCGCTTCTACTATTGTCACATACATCGATGTGGTTTCTACCGTTGTCACATAAATCAATGTCGCTTCTACTATTACTCCTTACCCACAGCCTGACTGCAGTCTTAACTAATGTTTGGTCTCTGTCTATGTATTTGAGAGGAGGTATTATGATTACTTACATTATTTACATTATTCGGACTGTTATCCTTATCTTTATTCTCATATTCAGAACGTTTTGGCCGTTGTATGCTCCGGCTTTCTTCAGCTGATGAAAATTAACGCCAAAGTAGAAAAAAATGTTTTGTGTGACGCCTTTCAGCCTCTAAGACTTCATTGGACTAAAATGATTTTTACGTTGGTGTAACTACACATGCGCACGAAGGAAAAGGAACGCTGAAATTTTTAAACTTATAAATTCACATATATATATATATATATATATATATATATATATATATATATATATACAGAGAGAGAGAGAGAGAGAGGGTATAACAGCAAAATTGTTCAAATCGTGTAACAGCATGGGATAAGTGTTCATCATACAAAATCTTTAATATCTAAATAACCACTAAACTAATTGAGTTTTCTTTTTTCCAGGTTTTCAGATAAGAAGTTTAACCATCTTGACACCATTTTTCGTAACTATCACTGAAAAACCCTTTGAGTTGTTCAGCTAGAAAGAGAACGGGTTAAAATCATTTTGTGTCAGCCTCGGTATGTCTTCCCAACTGAGCAATAGTAATGGTACGAACATTCATACTCTGGCTTCCATCTTCAAACTCCATTGAAGAACCATCAAGAGGACGGTGAATAATTTTAAAAAGCGGGAGCAATAGAGAGGAAAACTAAATAAGGAGGTTACAACAGCAAGAGGGATCATCATTTCAGCTTAGAGATAAATACATTCTTATCTTTCAAAGTAGAGTCCGATAGTGTTATAAAAAGTTTAGAGAATTCCAGTAAGATATCTTTAATCATTTCTAAGATACAACGGTTCAGATCTTATTCCAACAATTGGACAATTTTGGTGTTACACGATTTGGACAATTTTGTTGTTACACCCGATAGATAGATAGATAGATAGATAGATAGATAAAAGACAAGTACACATCAAGTGCTTCAGACCAGCTGCAATCTTCAGCTGAGCGCCGTGCTTCATCAAAGTTTCGGCCCATTAAGCTCAGTGCCTCTCTTATATATATATATATATATATATATATATATATATATATATATATATATATATATAGTTTATGAAAAACTAGGTAATCCTTATGGGTAAACCTAAGGAGGATAAAATACAGAGAGCTCAATGTAAATTCAGAGCAAATAATTTAAATAAAAACATACCACTTTAAGGTTCCATGTAATAAATTATTTCACCACAGCCCTTTTAAAAGGACTGCGGATCATCAGACTTTGCTTCCAAACAAAAAATGAAAAGAAAATTTACACATTTTTGACGGGCCGTATTAAACATATGTAAATTAAGGAAGTGAGGGGGGAAGAGAGAAGACATGAGTGGGTTAGCAGATATTGACACATTTAAACAGTTAACTTAACGGAAGTTATATATTGAAAAAGGGAAGGAAGTTAAGAGAGAAGAAGATGCCACTAATTTTCTTTGTAAAACAAGGCTAGAAACAGACGCTGTTATTTTGCTTTACTTTGAAAGTGTTATTTTGTGGGTTTATAAAGATTATAATGTTTGATATAAATTTGAATGTCTCTAGACTGTCTACAAATAATTTAATTTGATGTTTGTTAGTGATTTAAATTTTTTTTTAAATATATATATATTTATATATATAATTAAAATGGAATTTTATTAATCCGACATACTTGTATCACTTCAAACGTTATTTTAATGGATGCTCGTATCTACAGGCCTGTAGGTGAATAAATATACTGTTTGATAAATAAACGCTAAAAAAATAAGTGTGGACTTGAGAAATTTATTTGGCTGAAGTAGATTTTTACCAACAGTGACGCTAACTGTACAGTTAATGAATGCTGAATGTTTCCTGTATGGAAATGGTTAATCTCATCACTATATCACCTCGTTTGATACTTCTGGCTTTGGTAAGCTTAAATTACTTATTATTGGACGAATACCAAACTTGGAAAATGCCTAAACAATGGCAACGCGTGTCTAGTGCGACCAAATACACGAAAACAATTGGTGCCTGGCGAACTGACTTGAAATATACTGAGAAGTAGGATTTGAGGGTTTATGAAAGTGAAGGACAGAGAGTACCGTAAGATATTAAGCTTTCAAATTAATTATTATCGCTCAAGTGATTCTTCGCTTTAGGAATGTTATTGACCGGTATTTGAGAAATGCCTTAGTTTCACCCAGTTTGTCGTGACACTAGACTTGACTTCGTTAATCACATTAGTAACAAGTTAAGGTCTTCTATCGAATACAGAACGCTTAATGGAATGGTTATGGTCCTCAAGCACTAAATTGTCATTCTGATATTTACTCAGCTAAGCTTAGTAAGGCACAAGGCCAAAAAAGGAAGAAAATAATAAAGGAATATTGTATTACGCCAAGATAGAATTAGAGTCTTTTTATTAGTCCCATCCATAAGTTGGCATACATATTTGTAAGGCACGGAAAACTAAAAATTAAATAAAATGCAATTTCTCTGAATTTCTGAAACGATGATTCATCATTATTTACACTATTCATATGCGGTCTATTGTCTTCATATTTGTTGTTATTGCCATAACGTTTCGGTCGGATGAAGGCCGGAGTGTCCAACGGCCGAAACCTTGCGATAACAGCAATACAATATAGATAAGAGTCCGCGTGTAAATAGAGTCAATAAAAATAAACTGCATTTTCTTTTTCTCGATGAAAGAAGCCAGAAATGCCGGGACGTTTTTGGTATTCCTCATTAAGAAAACAAAAAATCCTAATGGCCTAATCCTACCACTTATACTTTCGAAATAAATTTGATATATAACTTGGTTATGAAAATGTTAGTTGAGACAAACGAAAAGAAACCTAAAATGCTACACCCTATATTGTTATTTATTTCAAAATTTTGACAGTAGTATCAGCTTCTTTCTTTGGTAAATCTGAAAAAAATATCTGACAACCTGACTCTGATCCGTTCAGGAGAATGGTTGAAATGTCTTGATCATCTGAGATTAAATTGCTGTTCAAATTTGACGCCAGACTAACTCCATGAACCGAGTTTCTTGTCGACGAGTAAAAGAAAATGAATAGGCCTTCTTCGAGTTGAGTAGTAGTTAATATGACTCAGTTTTTCCATATTTTTCTGTTTGGAATCCCCAACAAGATTATATTGCAATGTTATTATTGTATAGACTAATAAGCATACGAGATTAAATCTTTCATACGTAAAATTATTTTTTATTCACCTCCTGATCTTCTAACACTATTGTAATGTTGTCGCTATAAAGAGCCATAGGAACGTGAGATTAAATCTCTCATACGTGAAGTTATTGTCTATTCATCTCCAGACTTCGGCAGTTAATATCAGCAAGTGGGTGTGTGCTTTGGGGTTTGTTTGTTTTTTCCCCAAATGTGGATTCTTCTCGTGAGAATATGAGACACTTTCCTTCTTCGTCTCAGGTGTCTTTCGGTTATACCAGCTGTGCAAGTCTTAAGTGCAGTTGAGTTGAGCACCTGTTTTCATCCAATGAAGGCGTGAATGGCACCTGGTCAACCAGTTAATGCATCTGGCTTCTCTGACGCTCCAATGTAGCACTGAGTGCAAAGTCTATTTTGCTATCATCATGGATGGGTCCAGTTCATAATAAGAAAATCCCAGATTAACTTCTCTTAGAACAAAGGCTCTCTATTGATATGAATTTCTATTCAAACCGTTTGGTATTTCCGGGCGACTATCACATAGTAAAATATGAAGTAAATAAAAGTTTCGATTAAGAGACGTGGATTTTACCAATATTTCTTTGGTTATCTGTCTATATTTCTGAGGTGAAGTATTGTAACTATTTACCCTATTCACATTGTTAGAACTGTTGTCCTCATCTTTAGTCATTTCGGCCGTTGTACGCTCCGGCCTTCTTCAGGTGATATAAGTTGGAATTTCGAACCGAACCCATTATTTCATTTCATTACTAATAATTAAAAATATTTTTAAAATTCCAACCGCACCTTTTATTTCAATCATCCCGTCTATTTGAAAGTTGGATGTGTCTAGCTAGCTAACAAATAACAAATTCTGTGTAATGCATTTCATCCTCTAAAGCGGTTGTTTCCAAACAGTGTGGCATGCCTCATAGGTGCAGCAGAAGAGGATAGCAGGTGAGGCAGAATGATTGAAGGACAATCAAAGTTTTAGAAACAGTTTCAAAAAATTCATATGCCAAAAATAAATAGGATTTCAAAATTTAAAATATTATTATGAATTACTTGTAATTGCATGCATGCGTCCCAGTATAAATAGTTATAAATAATTAATAACCGATATTTTCATTGTTACATTTTTGCATTATATCAAGTATTAAGAATATAGTAACTAAGCTCCGCAAATTGAAGGAGAGAGTTATCAATGACTAGCAGTAGAGCCCGGCGTTGCCCGGGGATGTAACAGTAAGAGATAGATCAAGTATCGATCATCATAAAGACTGAAAAATAAAATTGACAAAGATTATTGTTTAAGGTTGACGGACACGCATGTCTTAATTAGTTTTTTTTGTTTTTTTTTACGAATTGGTCAAACCCAAACTCAAACAAAAACATTGTTTTCAATCGTTATGAGTCTACCGATTGAATAGAATTTTATTATAAACAATTGTCTTGTAAATGGAATTTTTAAAGCATTCTGAATGTAAAAATAAAGAAAAAAGTGTGCAAGAAACACTACCTGCCAAATAAAAAAAGTTTTGTTGAAATCGGTTGAAAAATGTAGGAAATCCGATCCCATATATATAAATGAACACACACACACACACACACACACACACAACCTGGGTTTTAAGTATAACTCGATATGAGTTGTCCCCCTTTTATTCTCGTGATGCCTCTTAATCGTGTTTTCAAATTGATTTCGTGCAAAAACAATTGTGTTTTTCCAATTTTTGGCGCTGTTAGAACCACCGCAAAGTCAATTTTATGTAGTCCTGTGAAGTTTTGTTGAAATCGGTTGAAAAATGTAGGAAATCCGATCCAATATAAACGTACAGACACACACACACACACACACACACACACACACACAACCTGGGTTTTATAATAAGTATAATAATGTTTTGACTTCGAATTCGTAGTTATCTCCTTTTAACCTTCTCGCTGGACCGTCTTTGACGTGGAGCTGCTAGCGACTTTTCAGTTCTAGGTTTTCAGTTCTGATAAATATCAAAAACCAGAAAAGGGAAAAAGGAGATGAGTTTGTTTATCTCAAATTAGGCCTAATATAAAGGAGATTACCCATCAAAAACAAGCTCATACCTTTCATTACATTTTGTGTACTTTAATCATATTATAAGTTATCTGTGTTATATACTATATTTAACGCTCTATTAGTCTTCTTTTTTTTTAATGTACTTTTTATCACATAAAATTTGGTGAGGCGCGAACAAATTTTAATTCCGAAAATGCGTCCCAGAGAAAAAATGTTTGGCAACCACTGCTCTGGAAGGACTTCATCGGATTATAGTAATGTTTTTGTCGATAGAATTATATATGTGTAGGAGGAAGATTCATTTGTTCTAATATAGAGAAATCTTTGTATTCTCCCATAGATAGATTATAAAACTTAATAAAATAATTTAAGCCTTTCTTTATATACGAAAGGATTGCTGAAAAAACTTCTGCCTCACTGATTCTGTGAATAATGGCAGTTAGGACATCAGCAGTGGATACAGTCGATCGAACTCCATACTCCTTGTCGCTCAGTAGGTTGTTCCTGTTGAGGTGATCAATCTTCTTGTTGATTATAACTTCAAGGAGTTTACTAATTGCACTGAGGAGACTGATGGTTCTATACTGTGAGGGGGTGAGCGATCTCCGGAATTCAGGAAAACCGGGCATACACTTGACACTTTCCCCAGATTTGAAAAGGATTTGTCCTTCATACAACGGTTACATAATTTCGCTAAGATCGAGGATAACTCCGGATTAACATTCTTAAGAAAAACCATTGGGATTTTGTCTGGACCTGTGGCCTTCTTAGAG